CGGCCATGTTGTGGGATCATTAGTGGCATTTGTTTAGCTTCTTCAAAACCACTAACTCAACTATTAAACTACATTGCTTGGGACCATTTCGTGTTTTTTGTTGTTGCTTTTATTTATTTGGACCTGTAAGCAATTACCTAGCAACCTCTCACAATACTCTCTTCAGAAAATGTGAAAGAGGTCTAGCTGCAAAAGAAAGTGTTAAAATATAATTGTTTCAAGGGGCCGTTTGAAACGAAAGAATGCCTGTCTCTATATCATAGTTATTTTAGTACATAAAGTTAAACTAAATTTAAATGAGAAATGCTGCCTTGGCAATTAGCTAGACTAAAATAAGTGAATGAATGAATAAATCATTAAATCCAGTTATATTATATACATGTATTTTATTTCAAATAAAGAAATACTTTTTAATGCTTTTAATTTGTTTCCATTTTAGTTTTGTTTTAGTTTCGTAGTGAATATTAGAATGACATGATGCCTGTGAATCCATGAATCCACTTGAAGCATTTAAAACAGTCAGTTGTAGTTTTGGTTTGTATATAAATTAGTATAGAATTAGAATCGCCCATGTATTGATACCATGAAAGTAATTATTGCTTATTTTAAGTTTATTTTTATAATTCAAAAATATATACATTCATTACATTATTTTTTAGCTATTTAATTTATTTTCATTTTTTTTACATTTTTGTATTTTTTGTGTAATTATGATGACATTCACTTAGATATTTTAATAAACAATAATTATCGACTCTGTATCAGCCAAAATAGTGATATTTATTGCATCCCTAGATGTTAATGCATGTTATATTTAAGCATTGTTTTCTATCCTAACTCCCGATAAACCCTCAAAGCTTCTGCTCTCAGCGTCTTGTGGTGACTGGAGGTTGAAGAATACATAAGTTCCAGAGAGGCCAGTTAGACCCCAAGGTAATAAAAGCTTTTGTCATAGACATTTGTGTGTGTTGTGTTGCAGGGTTGTGGAAGGGAGAGAATGATGATGCCAGAGGGCTGGACCTTCTTATCTCCCTCACAGATCTGCCAATTCAGCCGCACATGTGCCAACAGCTGAGAGCGGCTCATTAGATTTAGTGCTGCGCTCTGTTAAAAGCCTTTCTCTTTGTCTTACCCTGTATTGATCAGCGCAGGGCCAAGATTACAACAGGAAGGTTTAAATAAATCTGCTTTTTTTTTTGAGTTAAATCCAGTGACATTCGCTTTATGTTGTCTCCATAAATAAGCAGATGTAATCGGCTCAGTTGCCCAGGACAGAGAATGTGAGTGATACGGATGAGTTTTCTGTTAACAGTTCTTAAATGAACCATTTTTCTTAGTGTGAAGCACATTTCAACTATCTGAAGAACCTTTTTCCATTATAAAGATTCTTTTGTGTAATGAAAAGGTTCCATGGATGTTGAAAGTTCTTCATAGAACCATTAATGCCAATAAGAAACCTTTATTTTTAAGAGTGTCAGACATAAACCAGCTTTTGTTTTGGGAACTGTCTGTAACGCTTCTTTTTTTTCCAGATACTGAAAGAGAGAAAGTATTTCAGGTGTTTTTCTATCGCTCTCATTGTTCTGCTGTGCCACAAGGACATGATATTCACTCGGCCGGCAGAAGAGGTCCATATGGAGAGTTTTTATTCTGTGTCAAGAGCCCCAGTAGGAGTAATTGCATCGTCCCCTCTGGAAAAAAATTCAATCTAGTGCGACGCGACAGGCCAGCTGTGTTCAGGTAATGCTCAGGTAGACATCATCCGCTCAGGCCGTCCTCACAGGTAATAACACGTGTGCACGTACAAGCACAAAGGCACCTTTCTCTGTGTCATCTGCGTCTTTCTGTCCCAAAAGAGAGCTTCTCTGGCAGGTGATTTCTTTGTGTCCTGTGACACGAACCACATCCTCAAACGAGTTCAGAGGGAAGACTGGAGTCGTCTCACATTTCCAGCGCTAGCTATTTTTAGCTTGCTGTTGAAAGGAACTGTCCCGTCCCTGATCCCTGTGCCGGCTGAACCCCCTTTGCAACATAGCATGCAGCAGACGTGTGAAGACGGCATCCTTCTAAAGGGCCGACTCTAGCATTAAAGGAATCCTGTGCTGAGTCATTCTGACTAGGTGCCCGCATGTAAGTGTAATTGGTGCGCCAGCCCCCCTTCTGCTGAAACTTAAAACATGTGTCAAACACGCATTCACTTGGTGTGTGTACGTGTTGGCCGCTGGCTGGAATGCCCCTCTTTTTTTGCCTCAGCTTCTTTGGTATGCAGTGCTGGTGAAGTTGTCAGAGCAGCCTGGGCCTTCGTCGTCTCCCTCTGGATGGAGCGCTCTGACGCTGCCAGGGAAACGGACTCATCAGTTTGGTGAAATGGGACAGAAAATATTATTTATTCTCTGCATGCACTCACTCCTACCCCAGCGGAAGAAGAGAGCAGAGCGGGATCCTGGAAAGCCGGCATGGATAGAGGAGGAATTGGGGGATAGACAGGATCTTTATTTGCAATACTGCAAGCTAATTTTACACTTCATTGACGCGTTCTTTAGTCAATAGCAAATATTTGTTGTGGCAATGGCCTCAGTTGGGGTTAGCAGAGCCCGGTGACCGTATACGGTTCATGATTTTCTGCCTATTTCCTCAGTAAATGAAATTGATCATTTTTGGTGTTTTTTTTTTTTTTTCTTGTGAGAGATTGATTAATTTTTTGCTCTGTTTTTAAAGTGAAGTGAGAGTGATCATTGTAAATTCAAAAGATAAATTTATTTACGTCGTTTCACACATTTAAAAAAGGCACACACAGGTGTTCAAAATTTTGAAATATATACTATTTTTTTAAGTGTTTTTGAAAATCTACCATTTATAAAATACCATTTATTTGAGGCTGTAATTATCCTCTCAGAAATACAGTAAAACATATATAAAATATACAAAATGTCAATTTAAAATGTCAATTTGAATATATTTTAAAGTGTAATTTATTCCTGTGATGACAAAGAAAGAAAGAAAAAGAAAAAGAAAGAAAGAGAGAAAATGCATATTAGAATGCTTTCTGAAGGATCAAGTGACACTGAAGGTTGGAGAAATGGCTGAGAAAAATTCAGCGTTATCATGACAGGAATAAATAGCATTTATATACACTACTAAATATATATACACGTATATACAATTTATATACACTAAAATATATACACTATTGTGCAAAAGTCCTAGGCCACTAGTATTTTCAACAACAAAAAATTTTTTTTAAGTCTGTTATTTCTAAGGCGCTTGAAGAAACCTACCTGCAAAGCTACAGTACTATATATATATATATATATATAAAATTTATTTATTTATTTTTTGCCTTTATCGAAGTAGCAACAATGATATATCACGTTTTTCATATTGCGTGTATACAATCAGACAAGGGCACCAAGCAATGACCTATAAAACTATTCACTTCACCTTTAAATAGCCTCACCCACTTTCTCTTTCCTTGCGTCAAGTTCACTTTGGTCCACACAACTTCTTTTAATCTGCCTTTTGCATACCCTTCACATGGCGCCCTGCCTTGGGGATATTCGTCTGCGTCTTCCCTCCAAGGGCACTGTTGATGAGCTTTTCATCCGCTGCATCCTAAAGTGTTTATTAGCATACTAAAACTCTTCTCGCTGTCTATGCATGCCCAATCAGGCCTTTAGGGTTCCTCTGCCATCCCAGGATGCATTGCTTTTAGTATAGTGATTATTATTGTGAGCTTTGGGTAACATAGGGATCTGACTGCCTGACCTTTCTGCATATTTTGCACACTTTAGTGAATATTTATATTTTTTACACAACGTACAGGGGTTAATCTAAAGTTAAACTGTTAGTTAAATGTTATAGTTCACCCAAAAATGAAAATTCTGTCATCATTTATTCACCCTCAAGTTGTTCCAAACCTTTCTTTCCTTTCCCTTTAATGTTCACAGTAAAACTTTTTATGGTTGCAATTTTAATTAACTAATTGTCTGCAATCTTTGTTTTAATATGCCACCAGTATCGACTAACACGTGCTCGTTCTCGTAAGAGCCCTTGCTGTGTTTGGTCACTCATTCAGCTCAGAGCAATGGTGTCTGAGTCACATCACACTGTCATTGTTTTACATTTTGGATGACATAAGTGATTTAGATCACCACTTTTGCGAGCTACACAATCTCGAAAAGCAATTTACGATGAATCATAAGGGCTTCATAAACTCCTAGCCATGTGCGTGCATCCAATATGTGTGTGTTCATCTGGCCACGATTAGTATGTGTCGTGCCACCGAATATACATCAGCTCATGACAAAAAATGGCCTATGTGTCACCACACGTTTTTCTCATAGCTACATTTGCATTTCCAGAAGAAAATACCAGTTCCTGCAAGGAAGCAAAGCGGTATAAAAATGAATGAAAAACAAAACAATTAAGCTTAACAATGAATTAATTCCAATTATTGGGGTAAACTGTATGTGGACACCAGCCAAGGGAGTATGAGTAAATGCTTGATTTATTCTCTGTGCTTCAGTTAAGACTGACATTTCCTCATCCTACTTCACATTGGCTCTCTGCATTATAACACAGCTGAGGGGAGATGCTTATCGCAACTTATCTTCAAAGAGTGAGAGTGGGTGGAATAATTGCATCGGGGGTTGTTTTATAATAAATGCATTCTCATCTGTTGGGGCCAAGGCATCTTCGGGAAAACGTTTTACGTAAACTTAAATGGGCTCCTCATTTCTCTGCATAGAAATGCACATGTACCATTTATGCTATACATTATATTTCTGCCATTTTTTGTTGATATTGTTTATCTTTTATTTTGAAAGGTTGCAAGTCTTTTTTTTATAGCTTCTATGTTGATTACTTGGATTGCTTCTTTTAACCAGTGTTATGTACTCCAGTTTTTTATTAGTCTTATAAATCTGAAGAATTAAAGCTATCATTGGCCCATAAGGGTGTGCGATATTGACAAAAATATATAATCTCTATACTGGGCGCAGGGGATCTCTATCCTCTGTTCGCTTGTGTCCTCACCGCCCGCTCCTGGAAGTCAGTAAATGTTGGCATCAGCCAGACACCTGTCACTCAATCTGAGGTAATCTATAAGCATAGGTGAGACCTTTTATTTTGCATGAATTTGGGGTATTTTGACCAAGTCCACAACAGACACCATCAATATGTAGTTTTTACACACCTACCCATTCTTTATTATTACTATTTTCCACATAAAATAACACAAAACAGTATGTAGTGATCCAAAAATTCTTAGATTTTAGCTAAACCAAAGTAGCCACCTTTTAAACCTTTTTGAAGGAGTCCTGTGAATACTGGACAGTTTTTCCTTCATTAGCTGGTCCAATTCATACATGCTTAGATCCATTTATACATAGCCACAATATATATTTGTCTATAAAATTAATCTGAAGCACTTAAGTATAATCGTTTGAGCTTCAGTTGGCTTTTAAGATCACAATAAACAAAAGTTTTTTAGGAGCTCTTGGTACAAATATATATATATATATATATAACTGAAGACTGGAGTGATGACTTTTACTTTTAAGCATTTGTTCAGACACCTCAAACACTAACAGAACAAGTTGTGTCTCTGTCCAAGGTGCTGAACCAGGACTTCAGGTTGGACTACTGCAGACTGTGGCAGAGTTTGATAAAGGGAGACTTGAAAGGCATCGAGCGTTACAGCAGGCGTCTGGGCGCAGGGGATCTCTATCCTCTGTTCGCTTGTGTCCTCACCGCCCGCTCCTGGAAGTCAGTAAATGTTGGAATCAGCCAGACACCTGTCACTCAATCTGAGGTAATCTATAAGCATAGGTGAGACCTTTTATTTTGCATGAATTTGGGGTATTTTGACCAAGTCCACAACAGACACTATCAATATGTAGTTTTTACACACCTACCCATTCTTTATTATTACTATTTTCCACATAAAATAACACAAAACAGTATGTAGTGATCCAAAAATTCTTAGATTTTAGCTAAACCAAAGTAGCCACCTTTTAAACCTTTTTGAAGGAGTCCTGTGAATACTGGACAGTTTTTCCTTCATTAGCTGGTCCAATTCATACATGCTTAGATCCATTTATACATAGCCACAATATATATTTGTCTATAAAATTAATCTGAAGCACTTAAGTATAATCGTTTGAGCTTCAGTTGGCTTTTAAGATCACAATAAACAAAAGTTTTTTAGGAGCTCTTGGTACAAATATATATATATATATATATATATATATATATATGACATTGAGAACAGAAAACATTTGAATAAGTAAGACTAAGGGGAAAAAACAAAAAATAAATAATAATAATAATGTGGTATGCATCTGGAACAGAAGATTTATGTACAAATTTGTGCATTATTCACTGTATATACAGCTGTATAAATAAAAAATGTATATGTATTTACATAACACTTGAGAGCGAGGCAATAATGAGTTATTAAGAAATGAATTACAGGTGGTAATTTCATAGTTAGCTGTTTAAACTGGAGATGGCATGGGGGAAAAACTGTTTTTTATGCCTAGATGTTCTAGTGCACAGAGATCTGTAACGTCTGCCTGAGGGGTGAAATGCAAACAGGTTGTGTCCGGGGTGAGAGGGGTCTGTGATGATGTTACCTGCCTGTTTCTTCACTCTGGAGTTGTACGAGTCCTGAAGGTTGGGCAGGTGCACACTAATTATCCTTTCAGCTGTTCTAACAGTCCGTTGCAGTCTTCTAATATCTGATTTGCTGGCTGACCCAAGCCAGACAGTTATTCAGTAGAAGTGCAAAGAACCAACTCTATAACAGCTGAGTAAAACTGTGTCATCTGCGTCAGTTGAAAAAAGGAAGTACAACTTCTGCTGGGCCTTTTTCACTATGGAGTCAATGTGATTGTCCTACTTTAGGTCCTGCGAGAAGGTGGTGCCCAGGAATATGAATGACTCCACTGCTGCCACAGTGCTGTTCATGTTTTTTTTTTTTTTTGGTAAAATGAATCAAAAAGTAATGGACATCATTTGAAAGGTGTATTTTCAAACTTTAAAGTATTGCTAAAATAACTTGTGCTTCCTGGACATATACATTTAGAGAACTTGTTCTAACGTATTGTGCTCCCTTTAAAGTAATTCTTAAATGTTCTTTATTTGGTCTTAAAAAGGTCTTCAGGTCTCCTTCATAAAACCTGCAGAAATCCTCCTAGATCAAATTTTCATGTATTTAGATGTGATTTTCAGAACTTTCAAAACTCTTATGTGGAATTTTTCTTTACCGAAATTTTAGTTTTTTTCCCCAGGAAGACATTTTGTCAGCTGAACAATCAGTATGTTGTTAAACAACAATGCAATCCATTAAATGCACTGTACGTCTATTCCTCACAGCCTCATTTTAATTCCTGTCAAATAAGGGTCCATAACCAGGGAGTGGTCAAAACATAAGACAGCCCTACTTCTGCCTTATTGAAAAAAACATTAGGGTTGTGAAAACTGCTATATTTAATAGTTGATAGTGGTCACAAAGGGCCACAAAAACACCTGTTAACCACATTTCTGAACAAGGTTCACCTGTCCTCTCATTACAACTGCATAACTAACTGTCCAGGTGGCTGGCCTTGTGACCCCGTGGCCAGAGGAGGGCTGTTGGGTCAGTGTGATAGTGGTAGAGGGTTTCTGAAGGCCAGGCCTGGCCGGAGCTGACCTCTGTGGGGGACGTTTGACCATCTGGAGGGTGTCAGGGACATTTATTTATACTTTTATTGCATAACCTTTTACGGGACGTAAAACAGAGTTTGGGTTGTACAAGCATATTATATCAGAGCATCAGAGCAGTCTTCACTAACACACTATTTGTTACCGCATACATTAAAGCTATCATATTAATATAGGCCTAATATATAATGAATAGTTAAATATTAGGCTTTTAGCATTATTGATGAGTATGCATATTAGAACATATATATATATATATATATATATATATATGACATTGAGAACAGAAAACATTTGAATAAGTAAGACTAAGGGGAAAAAACAAAAAATAAATAATAATAATAATGTGGTATGCATCTGGAACAGAAGATTTATGTACAAATTTGTGCATTATTCACTGTATATACAGCTGTATAAATAAAAAATGTATATGTATTTACATAACACTTGAGAGCGAGGCAATAATGAGTTATTAAGAAATGAATTACAGGTGGTAATTTCATAGTTAGCTGTTTAAACTGGAGATGGCATGGGGGAAAAACTGTTTTTTATGCCTAGATGTTCTAGTGCACAGAGATCTGTAACGTCTGCCTGAGGGGTGAAATGCAAACAGGTTGTGTCCGGGGTGAGAGGGGTCTGTGATGATGTTACCTGCCTGTTTCTTCACTCTGGAGTTGTACGAGTCCTGAAGGTTGGGCAGGTGCACACTAATTATCCTTTCAGCTGTTCTAACAGTCCGTTGCAGTCTTCTAATATCTGATTTGCTGGCTGACCCAAGCCAGACAGTTATTCAGTAGAAGTGCAAAGAACCAACTCTATAACAGCTGAGTAAAACTGTGTCATCTGCGTCAGTTGAAAAAAGGAAGTACAACTTCTGCTGGGCCTTTTTCACTATGGAGTCAATGTGATTGTCCTACTTTAGGTCCTGCGAGAAGGTGGTGCCCAGGAATATGAATGACTCCACTGCTGCCACAGTGCTGTTCATGTTTTTTTTTTTTTGGTAAAATGAATCAAAAAGTAATGGACATCATTTGAAAGGTGTATTTTCAAACTTTAAAGTATTGCTAAAATAACTTGTGCTTCCTGGACATATACATTTAGAGAACTTGTTCTAACGTATTGTGCTCCCTTTAAAGTAATTCTTAAATGTTCTTTATTTGGTCTTAAAAAGGTCTTCAGGTCTCCTTCATAAAACCTGCAGAAATCCTCCTAGATCAAATTTTCATGTATTTAGATGTGATTTTCAGAACTTTCAAAACTCTTATGTGGAATTTTTCTTTACCGAAATTTTAGTTTTTTTCCCCAGGAAGACATTTTGTCAGCTGAACAATCAGTATGTTGTTAAACAACAATGCAATCCATTAAATGCACTGTACGTCTATTCCTCACAGCCTCATTTTAATTCCTGTCAAATAAGGGTCCATAACCAGGGAGTGGTCAAAACATAAGACAGCCCTACTTCTGCCTTATTGAAAAAAACATTAGGGTTGTGAAAACTGCTATATTTAATAGTTGATAGTGGTCACAAAGGGCCACAAAAACACCTGTTAACCACATTTCTGAACAAGGTTCACCTGTCCTCTCATTACAACTGCATAACTAACTGTCCAGGTGGCTGGCCTTGTGACCCCGTGGCCAGAGGAGGGCTGTTGGGTCAGTGTGATAGTGGTAGAGGGTTTCTGAAGGCCAGGCCTGGCCGGAGCTGGCCTCTGTGGGGGACACTTGGCCATCTGGAGGGTGTCAGGGAAATTTATTTATACTTTTATTACATAACCTTATACTGGACGTTTGGGCTGTACAAGCATATTAAATCAGAGCATCTGAGTCTTCACTAACACACTAATTGTTACTGCATACATTAAAGCTATGATATTAATATAGGCCTAATATATAATGAATAATTAAATATTAACAAACCCTTTTTTATAAAGCTTTAAGCATTATTGTTGAGTATGCATATTAGAACAGAAGTATTCGGCTTTAGTATAAAAATACACACTTTAAGCTTTATATTATGATTTTTTTTCATATAATAACTTGCATATAAATGAAACAACATACAGAACTACCACATTTTGCTATAAGTTTGATTGCATCATATAATAACTGCTGTTAATATTGTTCATCGTCTGTTTTATTACGTCTTATATTGATTTTTCTGTACTGCTGGTTCGTCTGGTCAGAGGAGAACTGGCCCCCCGACTGAGCCTGGTTTCTCCCAAGGTTTTTTCTCCATTCTGTCACCGATGGAGTTTTGGTTCCTTGCCGCTGTCGCCTCTGGCTTGCTTAGTTGGGGACACTTCATTTCCAGCGTTATCGTTGACATAATTGCAAAGATATTATTTAAACTGAGCTGGATGTTGACATCACTGAATTCAATGATGAACTGTCTTTAACTGAAAAATGAGTGTTTACTATTGTCATTTTGCATTATTGACACTATTTTCCTAATTAATGCTGTTCAGTTGCTTTGTCACAATCTGTATTGTTAAAAGCGCTATATAAATAAAGGTGACTTGACTTGACTTGACATATAAATTTATGATAACATTTGAATGATTTTCTTATAGTTGACTATGCATATTAAGGTTTAAACATTATATAAATGTAAATATTTTATTTTTATTTTTAATATGCTTAATTCTGTTGATAAATATAATGTAATGGTAATATCTGTAACTATAACTTTATTTTTCTTTTGTATAGTACTAAATATTAATAATGTATAATTTCTTAGTGTAAATAGCTTACCAAATAAAACTAAGCCATTTGAATTGTATGTATTAAACTGTTTACATTTATGTAAAGTTTAAATCTTTGTATAAAATATTATATAAAGTTTAGTGTTTTATACTAATACTGATTACTTCCTCCTGTTCTAATGTAATATGCATTGTCAATTCTAAGTAAACCATTCAAATTATATTCATTAACATTTTTCGATTTATCTAAAGTATATAAAACACTGTATAAATCTTAAAATGTGTTTGTATACTAATGATGAATAATTCATTCTGTTCTAATGTAATATGCATAGTCAACTATAAGCAAGCCATCTTAATTTAATTTTACATCAGTACATTTGTGAAGATGGATTTATTTTGCTCC